TAAGAGATCAGCCAAAGCATATCCAATGGACACAGACACTAGTGGGTGAGAACATGTGCTGGGGGTGGGGGTGATCAGGAAGAGGTCAGTGGGGAAAGAAAGAGATGTATGTAATACTATATGTAATACTTTAAACATAAAGAATGTTTTTAAAAGACAATTACTATATGAGGCACCCAAATTAGTCAAGTCCATAGAGACAAAAAGTAGAATGGTGGTTGCCATGGGCTGAGGGAGTGGGAAATCGGTATTTTACATTATTGTTTAGTGGTATAAAGTTTCAGTTTTGCAATATGAAGAAAGTTCTGGAGATGGGTGGGGGTGATGATTGCACAACAATTGCAAATGTCCTCAATGCCATCAAAGTGAATACTTAAAGATGATTAAATGGTAACTGTGTTATGTGCATTTTACCACAGTTCTTTTAAAAGTTGTATATCCTAATCTATAAAATAATCGAGGTGACTGGAGTGTAGTGGTGGGCACAGCGGAAAGCTACTTCCTGCATCCCCAGGCACCGCAGGCCGGTAACGCACAGCCAGCCTGCACTCCTGGAGGCACCAGACCCTGAGTTTCTGCCATGGCCTCCTGGAAGTGGGTCTGTCAACCAAGGCAACTGCCATTCCTCAGAAGCCCCTGGCCTTGTCCCCGTGGTGATGGAGTGGAATGTAGGGTAGCTGCCAGATGGCAGATGAGTAAAAGGGCAAGATCTGAGGTTGAGGGAAACAAGAAATAAAGGGGTAGCAGGTGCTGCTGAAGCCAGCCTAGTGCTCAGGGGTCTGTGGGCTTAATAACTTCAGCCCTTCAGTCTCCAGCCACATGGTGAGAGACACAAGAACAGAAAGGGATGAGAAATCAAGGAGGAAATGAGAGACAGAAATCAGCACCTGGAACGCTCGAGCGAAGAAGCCAGAATTGGCTGCAGAGCTGACCTTTGAGCCTGAACATATCTCTAAGAAGAAGAATTCAGCTCACATCTAATTTAGCAACTCACAGGATTAAAGAAACAACATAACACACAATCATGCATACATAGATACATTCCAAAACACAATGCTGAGAGAGACACAATTTAATCATTGGATAATTTTTCTACACAACATCAAGAAGTCAGAATCTAGATGATTGACTTAATTCCTTGAATCTGAATTTTTGGCATCATGGTGACTCAGACTCAGAAGTCCAACTGCAGGTTGACACTTTTCAATTTCTTTAAACATACCACACAGTTATCTTAAGAATTATCATGGCCAGTCAAGAGTATATGTATACATAAAATTTAGAGATGAAATGTCATTGAGATAACAGTGTTCATAAGCATTCCTGAAGCATTTTTATGTATGAAAATGTTTAGGATTCCATTGCCAACTAATCTTTTAAGTAGCCATAGGAAGGAAGGAGCTGACTATAAAATAATCTTGTGTGCATGAGGAGAAACTGAGGCACAGAGAAGTGAAGGGACTGGTTAAGATCTCATACTAAAGGTTCATTGCAGAGCTTTTATCAAACCTTTCAATGCCCAAAACTGAGGGCTGGGTTTTGTAGGTTGAGTCAAGGAACCTCTTCCAAGCATGTCACAGAAGACTAGCATGACTTGGCTCCTCACCTTCCCCAACAAGGTGGAATCACATCCAGCACCTGTTTCAGAGAGGTCAATCTGAAGGTCCCCCAAGTGACCAGATCCTCTAAACCTAACTCATAGTGGGATGTTAATCTGCTCTGATGTAGTATGGTCTGTGCTTGACTCCTATTTCCACTCCAGCGCAGACCAAAACATTAGATTTAGCCTCAGAAAAACATCGACCTTATCAGAGCCCTATGATATGCTTTCACCTCTTCTATCTAATTTCACCCAATTCCCACCCTTCAACACACACCACACAGCTTCAGACTGCAGGGTTAGTACAGGATAGTGTACACCTAGACATAGTGGCCTCTCAAGTGACATTGGTTTGCGTGTGTGTGTGTGTGTGTGTGTGTGTGTGTGTGTCTGTGTTTGTGTGTGTGTAAAATACAAGTTGATAACAGTTGTTAGTCCTGCTACTTCTTTCTTTTCACCACATTAGCTTCTCTTGGAATAGTTCTCTGTTTTAGTGTTTGGCAAAGATTCAAATTCAAATCTCCACCATCAGTCACATTTGATACAACTTCCTGCATATGCCATTTCCTCATTGAATCTCTAATGCTTTGGAGAAAACTGAATCTCAAAGAACAAGACAGAGTGGTGGTGGGAAATCACAAGTGATGCTCAGCATCTCTAAAATGTACTAGTTTGCCAGTCCCTTGTCATCAGTTAATCAGTCCTTCAAATCCATGACAAGGAGTAACAGGCATTCTCAATATTCAGCTTGCAATTGCTATCCTGGAAAGGTTTTTTTTTTAAACTGCTTTAAGTGTGAAATACCAAGAAGAGAAAAAATGGAATCCCATGTGGCACTCCTGTTGTTTTCTGCTGGTGGCTCCATTGTGTATCTGGTATGTTTCTCCTGACTATGGTTTTCATCACATTTTTCAGATAGTCCTATGTATCCTTAGTTAATTGTTTACCAATGCGGCTACCTCCCAGCTGTTTAAGGTTGCGTGCACAGAGCTGGGGATACCACCTCCATGAGCTGAGAACTACCATGTTCCCATCACCATGGAAATGTGGTTCAGAGATGAAAGTACTTAACTGTGTAGTCCTCCTGCCCAGGTTGGCACTGAACACCTTTTTAACAATGTATCTGCCAAAGCCTAAATCGCTAACAGTAATTTTCTGAATCAAGGGCCACAAATCTCAGGTTTTTCTATCTTGACACCAGTTCATCAATGACAAAAAAATAATAATAAATTAATCTAAGAAATTCTAGATAAACTCAAAGCTTTGGGGTTTTCTCAATCATTGCTACTCTTGTTAAGTCAGTTCCAGATTTTCTCCTTCCCATTTTCTCTCCTCCCCTAAAATGATCTGAGTTACAGAAGGTTTACAGAATATCTTGGTATCAGCATTGAAGATAAAGATGGTCTTAGCCTGAGACTGTCCACAATACCTTAAGTTGTCTAGTCCCACCTGGTTTCCAGATTTGACTATCTTTCCAGGCTGGCACTACTGAGGTATCTGTGTACCCACTTTGCCTTTAACTATGGGGCCTGTACCACCTTTTGCTGCAAAGATCCATAGGCAGAATCCTAACATCCATTCACTTCCACTGGCTCTCCATATTTATGGGTGCTACTTAATCTCATCCTTCCTCTTTCCCTCAGCTAATCTCCAGGCCTTCCATGGGCATAGGAAAAGTCAGCTGTTCTGAGGGGAACAGAAAACCAGCTGGATGGATTGGCCTGGTACCCAATGACGCCATCCCAATGCTCAGCTTCCACTCCTGGCCACATGGGAACCTGTTTGGAGGCAATCTCCTCCCGGTACTTGAGAAGAATGAGGCACACATCCTTTCTATTCCTGAACAGAAGCTTCTCTGTATGTTGTTATACAGAGTAAGAGGGAGGGCCAAGACATAGCCCCTTCTCTGATCTCCCACCACCTTTCTCTCCAACTCTCTCTCACACAGGGTTTTGTCATCTCACTGTTAGAAAAAAAAATGTTTTGCAGTTTTTGTTTCAAATATTTCTATATTACACTTGAACAGTACCAGTCCATGTTCTTGGTGTGAACAGCTCTGGCTAGTTTATGTAAAAAAAAAAAAAAAAAAAAAAAAAGGTATTATTAAATCAATACTGGAAGTTCACAGAATCACCAGGAAGGCTGGAGAATCAGCTGAGAACACTGGACAGCAAAAGCCAAACACCGAAGAGCCACGGCCCTGCCACCGCTGAGCCTGCCTTTGTTACACTGTGACTGATGGGAGCTACCCCTGCAGCTCCAGGTCACCATCTTCACACAGTCCCGGCAGGAGCAGAGTTTTCACGTCCACACACTGGCTGCCAGGTAGCAGAAAGAGGAAACATCCAGCCCCCACGCATTTCCACAGCGGGAGGCAGGAGACTGGGGTAGAGGGATACACACAATCAAAGGGCCTCAGAACTCTCGACAGACAGACAGACGAAAGGTAAATATCCACTGAAAGGATCAAGACTTTTTTAAACTAAGATTGTAGAGTTTGAATTCTTTGATCTTAGCTCAATTCTCTGATTCCCTCTTATCTATCTGCCTGAATAAAGGGGAAATCACAAGATGAAAAAGAGACCCTGGAGGTTCATCATGACTGTGCACCAGTTAAGATTTGTTCTTAGTTTGCCAGGTGTGCTTTTTGCCAACATCGCCAGGTCATGTTGAAGGACTTAAAGAGATTAAAGTCCTGAGTTCACACTGAGATTTGGAAAGTGGACAAGGAGAAACAAAACTCTCTTCACCCTCAGAGCTTCCTAGGGGGAGTAATAGACAATAGATGAGTGTGAATGAAGAAAGATAGGATGGGAGGCCAGGGGGAAACAGACAAGAAGAAAACTGGGCCATTTCAAAGGGCAGCTTGCAAGTGGTTACACACTGCCCTCTCACAAACAGGGGGAGGGAGGAAGGTTGAAAAATGGAGTTACTGACACCCTCCCTTGTGCATATCTTCAAGTGCTGACTCAGCACAGTCCATCTCCACACCGACTCCTGAGGGTCCCTGGTGCCGCCCTGTCCCTCAGCACCCAGGACATCAGTAATGTCTATTTTACCAATGAAGGCAGCAATTCATTCAAGCTGAGGCGGGGAGAGTTGAGTAAAGTTCCACAAAGCCTATGATAGGAATTTTTTTTTAAACCAACATTTTTCCAGATGGGAAAGCTGAGGCAGTGTTCCACAAACAGAGAAAAGCCAGAGAGAGAGGACAAGCCTGATACAAGGAAAATCAGGTGACTTCAGGAGAGAACAGGGCCACTTAGTAACAGAGACTGAAGTTTGAGAAGTACAGAGAGATCCAGAAGAAAATGTCTCTGAGAGAGGTGGCGGTGTGGTGTGGGGCTGGAGTCAGGAATCTGGATGACCCACAGACGACATACAGAGAAAGTAGGGATGAGCGCCAGGGATGTGGCTCTGAGGACAATAACATTTCAGGCGCCAGGAGAGGAAACTTGAAGGAGACCAAGAAAGAACACGGAGAGAGAGGAGATGGAGCTGATGGCTGTGCTGGGTAAGCCATGAAGGAACAGACTTTCCAATGAGCCCAGGCCGATGAGCTCTCCTTTCAGATTTAGCCCAAACAGCATGGGAGTAGTTGTCACTTCCAATCCCAGTGCCAGCTCTGGTTTAGTGGCTCTGCCCCCGGTCATCGAGGCTCCACCTAGCCCTTGGCAGTTTTCACGGAGATTGTGCAAATTCACCTTGGTACCAATTGCTAGGCTTGTGTTCCAGGCTTATTGCAAAAAAAATTTGAGGTTGTCAAAACTGGTATCTTTTGGGAGGGAAAGAAAAAAAGGAAAAATGGGATTTTTTTTTTAATCTGTCATGAAGAAAATGCACAAGAATGTTCCCAGTGTTGTCCTGAGGTGCTGGGTAGTTATTTTCCCATCAGTAAACCTCTGTGAAACAATCCTGGACTGTCCTTTCTTGAGGAGCCGAGGCTGCTGGCAGTGGTCGCCATCTGGGAGAGCAGGTGGGGTTGAAAAGCAATGCTGACAGCCTTGCCACACACGCACGCGTAGAGAAAGACTGTGTTTATTCAAATGCTGCAGCTGCTGCTCACAGATCCTGACGCTGTTTGTGCCTAACTATTAGAATCCTGAGATTTTTTTTTTTTAAAGCTCCAAAAGACCTATCCCAATTCTGTTTGCTACATAATGAGCATTTGCAATTCACTGAAGTGCTTGAATTCTGCGAATATTTTGCTCAGCTGCAGAGATTGATCTGGTCTGCCCCAGACATTTATCAGAAACTCACCCAGAGGTCTCACCTAAGGTTGTGCTCTAAAATGACTTCTTAGCCGAAACCGGTTTGGCTCAATGGATAGAGCGTCGGCTTGGGGACTGAAGGGTCCCAGGTTCGATTCCGGTAAAGGGCATGTACCTTGGTTGCGGGCACATCCCCAGTAGGGGGTGTGCAAGAGGCAGCTGATCAATGACTCTCTCCCATCGATGTTTCTAACTAACTCTCTATCTCTCTAAAAATAAAAAAATAAAATGACTTCTTAGATCCAGCCTGTATTCAGATCAGAGAACTGACAGATTTCCCTGTCTGCCAGTTGATGCCTGAAATTCCTAAATACAAATCCTTTGAGTTCTCTGAGAAAAAGAAATGCCTTTGGGTTTCTGACTAAAAAAAAACGCAGGAGAATATTCTAAAAACCTTCCCACCAAAATCACTTGCTTGAATAAAGAAAATATGACATAAAAAATTGTCCACATAATAACATAAAGCCTTTGAAATTACAGCACTCTAGATTCCAATACAAAGTTAAATAATCCTCCTTAACCCACGGCAGGCAGTCAGCATCTGGGCTCATTCACTCCACATCAGTGCTTCAGGCCCTGCAGTGGGCCTTACACCCTGCACTGCCCTGTGACCACGTCATCTGCCCATTGCCATGAGAAACTACATTTACTTTGACTTCCTTCTGCCTATGCATTTGTCTCTGCCTGCTTCACGCTGGTCCAATTTTCTTATAGGTTCAGGAAACTCTTATTAGTTCACGGAGGCACACGGTGAGCCTTTCTCCCAGAAGCCATTGGAATTTGTACCAGGGGGACTTGGGAGCAGTTTCCATGGAATGAAGTCCCACAGGGGCAGTCATTTCTCCCAGTACTTGGATGCCAACTCAGCACCTGCCCTTTGTCCCTTTTAGTCTTTTAATGTAGCCCCAAAGAAGGCCCTTTCCATCTCCCTGGGTGAGGCTGTGTACCACTGGGCAACTGCCATGTCTTACCTGTGCTTGAAAATTGGGCTTTCGCAGATCTCTCTTCAGATGGGTAAGTAGAAAAATAAATAAATCTGGGCACATAAAGATATTCTGAAGCACAGAGATGAGAAGAAAGGCCAGGGCACTCTGAGACTCACTACCTTCTAACAAAGACATATTGAAAGAACAGAAGGAAAAAATATAACATGCTTTTTGTTACCGATGGAATACAAGAGTATAATCTCTGTGAATCTATTATAATAAAAATATAATCTGCAAATCGACCAAACAGCCGAACAGCAGAATGACCATCTGGACAACCTTCCAGATGACCTTCCAGATGAAGCTGGGGCTGCAAAGGCTGCTCTTGCAGGAATTTCATGCATAGGCTCTCTAGTAAAAGAATAAGCCAAGGTAAAAAGAGAAGTATTCAAAAGTAAATAATTCATGCAAAGTAAAGACTAAATCGCCAATAAAAATAAAGTGGAGGGTTAAAAAAAAAAAAAAAGAGCAGCTGTTGAGGTAAAAGTAGTAGTTAAAAGTTAATTAATGAAGTAATAGGCAAACTTGAACAACACTCCCTGCATACAAAGGAGGGGGGGGGGAGGTAGACAGCAGAATAAGATTCCAAGATGGGGGCAAAGTAGGTGGAAACTACGCCCACTGTTCCCAGCCCCACACCAGATTTACAGGGAAATTATAGAGCAATCAACTCAAATAACCAACAGAAGGCTAGCTGAACTGAACTATAATAACCGAGGGTTTACAGAAGAAGCCACATAGAGACTGGTAAAAAGGGTGAGACTCTTGTTTTTTTAGCCACTCAGGTGCCGCAGGTACAGTGGTGGCTGAGAAGCTTCAGGGATGTTGTAGCTGCAAAACTCCCTCCCCCCAGGGAGCCCCAACCCAGAGCAGCAGAGATGGGAAGAGGAGCTAGCATGTGGAGTTACTAGTAATCTCTACTTCCTTTCCTAAATGTTCTCAGACCTTTTTATTTTTAAAAATCTATCCTGGACGGTAGCATTTTATCTGAATTTTAAAAGACAAATGCAATCTTTAGAGGCATAAATTGAGAGAAAAGGACATTTCAATTTGAATGATAATATGAACAAAGTTAAGGGAGAACAAAAGTGAAGAGCTTTGCTTTAACCATCTCTTTGCTTCTATTTTAGACCAGGGAGCAAAGGTGGAGGCTCAAGCTTAATAACATGAAGTGATTATTACTGCATATAGAGTTTTTGTGACAAAAAGAGGACTGAGCAAATTCAATTTTTAAGCTCTCAGTAACTTGCAATAACTGATACAAACTTTGTCTTTAAATTTACCTAGATGAATTTTAAGTACTTAAAGAATTAGATATTAACCTATGCCTTCCTTAAAATTGCTTCCTCTCAAAGAAACTAATAAATTTTCAATAGCATTTAATTTAAAACTTCTTAAGATCCTACGCAGATAAATAAATGGCTTTTAAATGTTTTCCACTTGAGAAATGAATTCTCTCTGTTATGCTTTTTTTTTCCTAAAGTGAATTAATTTCCCATGCACTTGGTCACTATACTCAGACATCTCACAACAAAAATAATAGAAAGCATCTGCAGAGTAATTGTGGGCTCTCCTTGGCTGCCTAGAAGAAGCCTTCCCTCGTCTTCGGCTGTCACCCCACAGATCAGAGGTCCTCTGTCACGTACGTGAAGCTGGAAATTTCTAGATAATCTAAGAAAACATTCAAACTGCTCCAGATAGTTTTTCCCCCCATTATTTATGATGCAGTGATGATAAGATGAAAATTTTCTGAGGGTAGTGTGATAAGCTCTTTGTAAATAAGACACACTAATGACTTGAGGAGTGGGATTCTGGTGCTTCCTGGAGAGGCCATTTTAGCACCATCTCCCCTAGACAGGGTTAAGCTCCTTATAGATCCCTTAGATAAGATTACAAAGCCCAGAGTGCAGACCCAATTCTAATGCCTCAAGATAAAAATGACAGAAAAGTAAAACCAAAGAGCAAGGAACTCCCGAGAGCCTGTTTGGAGGTTCCAACTGGGGAGCACAGATACTCGTATGCCCTTGACCAAAGATCAGTCGTCTCTTTTGGAGGAAAGGCTGTCCTCTCTGACCAAGGGACCGACTGAGCTTGCAGCTTCTGGATGCACATGGTCGGTTATTAGGAGGGGGACACCAGCCTAGCCAGCCAGAGCAGCTGAATCAACCTTGGCAATCAATGGGGTGACAGGTGTCACAGCCAGATGGCCCTCACATCCAAGGAACTCCTGAAATGCAAGGCATTTCTTTTTTATGTCCTTCAGTTTTTCTTCTACCACTAAAGATTAAAAGGACAGTCAGCAAAACTGGTTTCAATAAGTAATTAGCTGCAGAGTTGGGCAAGTATTTTCAAACTGAATGAACCAAACCACAAAGTTTACAAAAATTGCCAATGAATTTGAACACAGTTTTTGAGTTTCCAATAGTTGTACTGGCTGTCATTTCTGAGCCCATTTTTGTTTTGGCTTTTGGCCACAAGACAGCAGGATAAAATGATGACATCAGCTAAGACATGGAAAAGGTAAGAGGCCTGATCGCAAGTTTTGTGTTCCTCCTGTCAACTCCCCTTAAACAAATGGCCTCACCTTCGGGCATCAGAAATCTCCTCTGTTCAGTTTGTCAAAAAGCAGCGGGCCTCATCCTGACATTTTTTTTTACAACCGTCTCTGGCTCAAATTTTATAAAAAGAGGAAGTATTGATAAAAATCCTAGAAAAGTACTGGTACAAGTTTCTATTTTCACAAGATTTCTCAGGCTACTTTTCAGTTTGAAAACACTAGGCTGGCCAAAACCGGTTCGGCTCAGTGGTAGAGCGTTGGTCTGCGGACTGAAAGGTCCCAGGTTCGATTCCGGTCAAGGGCATGTGCCTGGGTTGTGGGCACATCTCCAGTAGGGGGTGTGTAAGAGGCAGCTGGTCGATGTTTCTCTCTCATCGACGTTTCTAGCTCTCTAGCTCTCTTCCTTCCTCTCTGTAAGAAATCAATAAAATATATTAAAAAAAAAAAAAAAAAAAAACACCACTAGGCTGATAAGGGACATTATGAGAGAACAGAACATTTTTTAAGTAGTGAGAGACTTTGGAACTAATCTAGTCCAGAAAGTACTTGTATTGATGAAGAAATAGTTGACCTGAAGGAAGTAATTAGTGAGGGTCACGTGTTGGCAGCAGGGCCAGGCCCCTGATTCCCAATCTGGAGATTTCCCCCTCTATTTCCCTCGATGCTGTGCTGCCTTCTTTGTCCATATGTAAGGTCAGTAAGAGCCTAAAGGGGAGTGCACAAATGACTGCATCTAAATATTCCTTGAGTCTTTCTAGCCCATATGACATTACTGCCCAAATTTCTTAATATCCTGATAAAAGTAACATTTTCTTTCCTAATGGGTTTCCAAGACTTAAGTCTCATTTTCTCTAATCCTCTTCTCTGCCATTTTGTATAAATTAGAATATTTTACCAAAATTTTCCAGTGTCCATTTCACCAATGTCCTACTCCTGTCTAAAACCTTGTGATGGTTTTATAATGTAAGTTTAAAGTACTCAACATGCCTCAAAGACCCTGTATTATCTGAGCAGAGCTAACTCTCCTCTCTTCCCAACATGTGTGCTGAGCTCCAGTCATAGGCACCCTTTGTACATGTGCTACTCTCCTTACCTGGAAGATCCTTTTCCCTATTGTTTGCCTGAGTGATAATTCCTCCTCTTTCAAAACCTGTCTTAGAGAACACTTCTGCCAATAACCAATATCTGTACATATCCAAATATTAGGCAAACATGTAGTGACAATACATCATGTTCAGAAATGCCACATTAGACTAGTTTGCTGAATTATCTATTTTTATCTACAATAAAAATTCATCCAGATTTAAAACATATAAACAAAATGTTCTGATTAATAAGATAGACTAAGACTTTATGCACCCAAAAAAGAAAAGTAAAACAGAAAAAAACACACACATGTGTATCTGACTATATAAAGATTTAAAACTTCTATGAAACAAAAATACTTTGAAATTTTTGCATATGATGCAAAATCTGTATCCTTACTAAATAAAAAGCTCTTACCAAACAATAAGAAAAGCATAAATAAATAAAGGAGCAAAGGCAAGTTTTTCACTCAGAAATTCCAAAATGGCAGAAGAGTACACTAATACTCTTCCAGGGCCAAACTAGAATTACAACTAAAATATAGGAAAACCATCATGAATAATCAAATAAAGAGTAGCTGGAGAGAAATGTTATAACCAAGGACATAGAGACCACAAAGAGATTAGTAGGAAGTGCAGAGGTGCAAAAGGATAGCACCTGAAGTTCTGGAGGGATATCTCAGCTATAGGGAGTCCCAATTTTGTGTTTTCTACAAGAGGCCCACCTCAGAACAAAAGACTCACACATATTGAGGATAAAGGAATGGAAAAACAAATTTTCATGCAAATGAAAACTGAGGTAGCAATACTCATATCTGATAAAAATAGACTTCAAAATGAAGGCCATCACAAGAGACAATAAAGGTCACTACATAATACTAAAAAAATTGATGTCACAAAGATAGATTTTTTGAAAAAAAGCAATCTTTCATTCAGAAAAACAAAATGAGCAAAGAAGTACAGATGGCTAATAAACATACACAGTAAAAAATAATTCCATTAGTAGACCAAAATAGCAAATTAAAAGAAGATAATATTTTTCAACTATTTAATTAAGAATGACCACATTCAGCCCAGCCAGCATGGCTCAGTGGTTGAGCATCAACCTATGAACTGGGAGGTCAAGGTTCAATTCCCAGTCAGGCACATGTCATGTTGTGGACTCAATCCCCAGTGTGGGACTTGCAAAAGGTAGCCAATCGATGGTTCTCTCTCATCAGTGATGTTTCAATCTCTCTTTCCCTCCCCCTTCCTCTCTGAAATCAATAAAAATACTTTTTTTTTTTTAAATGATCACATTCAGTCTTGACAAGTATAACTAGTAAGACAATTGCTCTCATAGTTTGCAAATGGAAGCTAGATTCATATTATCTCTCTGGAAAGCAATTTTGCAATACATATTACAAACTTTAAAACTTTATCCCTTTGACTGTTTTTTTTTTCTTGTCAAAATCTAGCCTAAGATATTTGTATTTTACAATATTATCTATGGTAGAAAAGTGGGATACTATTAGTATATAGTAAAAGTATACTATTAGTATATAGTAAAAGAATAATTAGATAAAATATAATTCAGGAAATAATTTTTCTTTTTAAACATCATTGGACATAAAAAATGGTATAATTCAAAAAAAATTTAAAACAAGGTGAAAATTATTTCTGCAATGTGACATATTATATATTTAAATATGTGTATATATAGAAAAAATATTGGATATATATATATTAACACTGATTTGATTATTTCTGAGGAATTTTAAATTTTTTATATACTTTTCATAATACTTAAAATTCACACTGCTTTTATAATCAGGAAAATATTTTAGTTAAAAATGTATATATATATTAATAAAAGCCTAGGTGGCCCTCACACCGTGTCCTTATATCATCACAAGATGGCCACTCCAACATTGTCACAAGATGGCCACAGCAAGATGGCTAACAGGAAAAGGCAGTTGCGGGTAACCAGGCTTGCAGAGGAGGGCAGTTGGGAGCCATCATGTCAGCAGGGGAGGACAGATGGGGGTGATCAGGTTGGCAGGAAGGGCACTTGGGGTTGATTGGGCCAGCAGGAGAGGGCAGTTGGGGACAATTGGGCTGGCAGGGGAAAGCAGTTGGGGTCCATCTGGCTGGCAGCGGAAGGCAGTTGGGATGATGGAGCCAGCAATAGAGGGCAGTTGGGGTTGACCAGGCTGGCACGGGAGGGCAATTGGGTGGAATCGGGCTGTCAGGGAAAGGCAGTTGGGGCCATTGGGCTGGCAGGGGAGTGATTAAGGGACAACCAGGCTGGCAGGAAGATGTGGTTAGGGGCAATCAGGCAGGCAGGCAAGTGGTTAGGAGGCAGCAGTCCTGGGTTGTGAGAGGGATATCTAAATGTCAGTTTAGGCCCGATCCCAGCAGTTGGACATCCCCCAAAGGGTCCCAGATTGGAGAGGGTGCAGGCTGGGCTGAAGGACACCACCCCTCCCCCCCGCCCCCCTCTTCCCCTGTGCATGAATTTTATGTACTAGGCCTCTAGTCATATATAATAAAGAGTTAATATGCAAATGGTAATCATGCCCTCACACCCTTGCACTGGGGTCAGGGGACCTGAGGCCAGGCCCGGGGGACCTGAGGTTCATCCCCCATCCTGCCCAGGGGGGCTTGACCAGGGACCTGAGGCTGGGCCCCCGGCTTGGCAGGACTTGACAGGGAATCTGAGGCTGTGCCAAGTTGGGGCACCTGTGGCTTCACCCCCTGCCCTGCAGGGCTCGACAGGGGTAGAGCCGGCCAGGTCTGGGTTGCATGACATCAAGGTGCACACGGGTGAGCGGGGACTTGATTTGGGTCCCTTGGCACACCCAGACTCTTACAAGAGGAAGATTTTCATATACATTTTACTATTTTTTTTTCATCTTTAACACTTCTATTATAGAGAAAGGGCAAATAGCAATATTAAAATATTTTCTCTAATTCTCTTTTAATGTGCACAAATTTTGTGCACCGGGTCACTAGTATACATATATATGTGTGTGTGTGTGTGTGTTTAAAAATTAATGCAATCCAGCAACCCAGATACAAACTACATGATTCATCTTTTTCTTAGTTGAAATATATAATAAAAGTAGCTAAGCTCTTGTTGTTCACAAAAATGGGGTATAGTAAGCCCACCACTGGTGAATCCCTCACACAAAAAGGAAGTCTCCAATAGCACTGTAAACCTCATCTTCAGTGACAACTTAACAGTTTTGAATAGTTATTTGATTAAAATCCACTTCTCCCACTGGACTTAGAATTCCAGAAGAGCAAAGCCTAACTACATGTTTGATCACTCTAGTAAGATCTGGAGCAAAGTATCGTGGATAAATATTAAGTGCTCAGTAAATTGTTTTGACTTATTATAAAGAGAGAAAGGAAAAAGCTAGAAAACCTAATGAGGTCATGGGAACCACTAAACAACTGCAACATTTGCCAGTAAAGCTCTTAGTTACTTCCCTACTTCTCTGTCCCCGATAGCCACCATCCATGATGAAATAATATAAAAGCTGGAATCCAACTTTTCTTCATTTTTCCTCAAATTCATTCTTACATAAA